CTCACATCCAAGTTTTCAACACAGCAGTATTTGATTTGATGTAGTCTTTAAGTGTTTAAATACTACAGGAATTTATCTGTATTTAGTATGGTAATGTGTTTTACAATAAAGGACGTTTTCCTGAAATATCAGTCCAGTAGGATGCTCTAGTAAATTTGTCTTCCAGATTGTTAGAAAAATGACAAGTCAACAAAAGATGTATTGTGGTCTTAAGCGAGAATTCGAATGCGTAATTATACATACCATGTGTCTCACGTTATGCTAACACAGATGGCCTCACCTGAATTTTTGCTCCATGTATTTCATACAGTTATATACCAAAGACACAATTTTTTTTTTCCTTGCAGCTCTTGCATGCAACAGCAACTCTTCTTCTATCTCTAAATAAATCAGCCATACCTAAAGGCACCTTTGCCTGCTGGGGAGGCTTTCTGCCACAGCTTTGCAACGATCATTCCTCCCAGCCTTCCCTAGAGCATTGGTCAGCTTTGAACTGGCTCTAACTATAGTGATTCCAGGAGAAATAACGGCCCCATGGGAATCAAAGCCAGATGGCATAGTTCAAAACTGAACTGAGGCTACACTAAATGGTGTTAGAAAGAGCATAATGCTAGACCCAGCTCCAGAGGGCAGAAACAAACAACTCCTTTGCCATCCTCCATTGAGCCATGCCCAGAGCTTACTGGAGCAGCTGACAACTCAGTTCTCATAATTCATATTTCTGCACACAAAAAGGACACTACCTTTGAGACCCTTGCAAGTAACCAGCTGAATACAGGAAAAGGGAATAAGTACTAAGTAATTCAGTGCATTCCAAGTAAATGCATCATAAATGGAAATTACTATCTGAGCTGGACTAATTCACTAAGAGAGTAATTTACAGATCCCAGAACACTGCAACCATTCCAGATTTCCATAACTTCTCCGTATTTTTCTCTTTATCAAGACGTAGATATAAAAGCCTACACTAGAAATAAATGCACGGAATAAGGGTAAATCATGTTTCTTCTTTGGAAAAAGCAGACAGAATAGTTCATTCAGGATTTCACTACAAAATATATTTCCACCTCTAATCCAAATATTCCATAAAAGGAAAACATTTTCTTTAGTATATGTTTATAGGTTTCTTTAAGAATTTCTTCTCATCTAGAACTCAAGTGATTAATTCTTTGATACTGGATATACAAATTGATGCACATACTACAATTCCATAATAGCTTTACAGTCCACCGAGGGATAATGTGAGTTATGCTTCTGAAATATTTGTCCTTTGTACATATTCAAAACATCACCACATTTCATTATTTATCCTTGTTCTCTGTTTATATATATGTAATGTTCAATATACAAGCTTGCAATGAGAAGATACCAACATTAGTCAATAGTTTAATACTCAAGAGTAAAATCAGATATCACATACAAGTCAGACAAAAAGGAGTCATCATTCAAATAGGTTTTTTACCACTGTTCATCAAGGTGAACATATGCTATGTGTACTCCAGGATATATTCTATGCTTAAGGAATGAGGAAAAAGGAGTAAGGAAACCATATCTCAAGAAAAGCAGTCTCTTGCTTCAGCAGAAGAAAGTTCTGATTTTCAGGGGAAAAGTATCTAAGAACACATTAAGAGCTTGGTACGTGAACAGATAAGAGGCATCATAAAACAGGTACTGTGCTAGTGTAGTTAAAGTAAACAGAAGCAGTTCTTTCAATCCAGGATAGTAAGCTCAAAACTGACACTGGAGAATTTAGGATGCTGTGGGGCATGGAAAGAGTACAAACAGGAAAACTGTTCAAGAAAAGAAGAGGAAAAGGATTAAAAAGGCAAGAAACGAAAAACTGCAATGCAATTGTAACATAAAATAAAACAACGAGGCACAGCATCACCAAGCAACAGCATTAAAATTTACTCTGCTTCACATGGAAGAGGACAAAACTAGATCTACTAAATATTAAGATAACTGAAGGGAAAAAGAACTAAACCACATATTCCCAACACAAGTTTCTGGGGAAAAAAAATTCTACTCCCACTAAGGCTTAAAAGAATAACTAGAAGGATGGTGGGTTGTGCGATTCTTCTTTTTTTTATTTTTGCAAGGGTGGGCAAGATGAAGAGTATAGGAAAAGAATTTCAGAAAACAATACTTTTGGGAAGAATTGAAACACTTCTTCCCCAGCTTGCCAGCAGCTCATAGAGAGACCCCATCCATCTGAGATTCTTTGGCTGTCTGCCTGGAAGGAACTTGTCAACTTGTCTTTTTGCTTAAGGCAAGGAGACTTCAAACAAAGTGGTTACCATTTTCATTTTTTTCATGGAAAGAAAAAAAAAGGACAATTTTTTTTTTCCCAGGGAAAAACTAGTTTCCCTCTTGGAAAATATGATTCTGCTAAAAGCACTTCCCCTGGCTCTACAGTTAATATGCACTGGAATATCAAAGCCCCCAGTGTATGCTGCCATAGTAAGAATACAACTATATGAGAGCTGTTCACAGAAAAGAACAACACATAAATCTTAAAAGATGTGCTGCCGTCTTCAGTTTGAAGCATTATGAGTTTTTTAGAAAGAATTCTATTCTTAGCTGATGATAGACATTTGTAGAATAATAAAACACCACTAGCAATAAGAGAAAGCCAAGTGACTTCACCTGGGACAGACAGCATCCATGCAACCCTCCGCTACTATGTCAAGAAGAAATGTTAGTTACTCTTAAATGCCAGGCAATGCCTGAGTGCCGCTCTCCCAGCAACACATTTCTGCATTGTTTCAGACCAATTGGCATTTTCAACAGCAAACTACAAAATAAATCTGTGGGAATGCCAAAATCAAGTTTTGTCACTCAGTTTGAAAGCATCAAAACAAATATTATTTTCTAAGCATTTCACTGCTAGAAGAGAAAAGGCAGCAGGGAGACCATAGTTCTGTTTAAACATACAAGGTCTTTGAGTAAAAAAATCTAAAGGAGTAGGAGTGCAAGTTTACCCCAGATAAATTGGCTAACCCTGTTCATTTTATGAGCACTTGGTACCAGGCTCAAAGAGGAAGGAAGGTGCAAGCGTGCCTCTTTCGGCAAAGCTGACGCCCATGCTTACTCTGGCTCAAATGGCTCATGAAACTGCGGCGTTACTCATCCATAATCACTGCTTATCTCTGTGATCAACACCAAAACATATTTTTTTCTTTATCATCGTGCCACTCAAAGAGATTAGAAATATTTTATAGCTACACAGCGCTCCAAGGATACATTTAGGAATGAATTTGCTTAGCAGAAAACTAAAATCATGCACTTAGTAACAAGACAGACAACGTTAAAATAATGTCTTTGAAAGATAAGAAACTGCTACAATAAGTTATCAGAGTAAGAATCTCTAAGAAATGATTCACCAAATAACCATTCAAGTAACCTTTCTAGGTGAATGATTTTAGCTGAAATGCATTATTTGTATCTTAAAATTTGCAGGATATAGAACAAAGATTAGATAAACTGGCTGGACACATTGAACTGCCACAAGTACTTTTTCCTGGATGAACTACAAAAATGTGATAAAACCAGCACAAACAAGGGCATTTAATATATTAAATGGAACTCTCTCTTAACTTAATCTCTCCTTCTCTGAATATCACATCTTATTTATGGCCCTCCAAACAGCAATCGCATTTTGTTTACAGAAACAAGTCATAAGTACCGTGTCTACAAATTTGGGTTAGATATCTAGTTCTGCTAGGTGATGGCTGCAGAGTTATTTGCCTATTATTATTTTCTTTTTTTAAATGTTGGAACATTTAAGTCCTAAAATAATTCAAAGTATATTAAATTCTAAAAACTCCATGGATTTATTACTAAGATGGTTTTTAGCAGTGCATGAAGTTTCTTTTACTTCTGTTTCCAAAATTATTACTTCATTTTTTCTCCCTTTACAGAAATTAAGGTAGTAATTCTGAGTTCTTTGGTAAAATTCACCGTAATTTCATTGAAGTGACTGGAACCAAGTGGAACAACATGTAAAACAAAATAAACAAATTCAAAACCAGGCCTACAAGACTTAGCTTAAATGTGTACAGTGACCTAAGCATGTTATATCTTAAAGTCAGACTTGCCAGACATTGTGCAAGACAAGTTGTAAGACATCAGCTTTGAAGTCTCCAAGGCTATGACCAGTGAAGAGTGTTTAAGGGAGCATGGGGCATTGGTGATACTCCGCCAGAAGGAGGCAACAGGACACAGCCTATATAGTGTGGGTTACCTCCTACACAGCTCAGTCACAACCTACTAAAGGAGTAGTTTCCAACTTCTTTTGCTGTGACTCCCCAACTAGATGCTTTTCCCTGTTTACTCATCCTGAAACCAAGGACAGCAGGGGCAGCTATCTTTGTCTCTTTTCCCCCCCTCTACCCACATTAATAAATGTAGGGTTTCTTTTCCCTTCACCAATTTATGTTATTCTGAATATGCTGCTCCACTAATTTTTCACATACTGGGACAACTGAACACCTAGATAACAACTGAACGTGTAGTTGCCTCTCATGCACAAAAGGACAAATTAGTAGATGCCATATGAATGTCCTAACCATATGAATGAACACACCTATTATCAAATATATATTTTTTTTAAATGCAATGGGAACAAATCCAATCCTCCCTCAAAAACAAGCACCACCTGAATACAAGAATAAAGAGAAACCTCTTCAGAAAACATACAGTATCATGTAGTACATGATGGAACCCTGCTGATACTTTTAAAATAAAGATTTCTTACAACAGTACTTAAAAGCCAGATATCCTATCTTATTGTAAAAGCTGGAATGCAGACCAACAAGTCATACGACAGCACTAATTTTATTTAAATTTTGGTGAGATGGAAGCCAAAGCACTTAAGAGAAGCCTGTCCCCCACTGTACTAGACCAAAGCAAATGAACAAGACAGATAATAAATATATCATCATTTTCTTGGTCAGTATTTTAAGAAGCAACTTGTCAAGAAAGCATCAAGTTAGGTTCAAATGACTCTGCAGCTGAGAATTCCACAAAGTCTCTGTGCTTCTGGTATCAATGCACAAAACCAAAGGAAATTAAGGCTTTCATCTCTAAATCATTCAGAAACTAGTATAAGCATCTACAAGGATGTCACAAGGTTATACAGGGAGAAAATTAGAAAGGCCAAAGTAGAGGTAGATGCTGATGGAAATGGTGCTAAAAGATTTGCTTATGCATTCAACAAGAATCGTGGAAGGGAATCCGGCCGCCTCCTGCATGAGCTGCTGTGGAAGAGACACTGGGAGAGGATTGCTCCTGATTTTCAGGTGGTACATCTGAACTCAGTGACAGTGGACAACTGCCTGGACAATCTGCGCCTTGCCCCTTGGGGGTGGAAGCCCAAAGCTGAAGAAACCTCTAGCAAAGAAAGGGAACAAATTCTGTATTGGCTGGCAATCCAACAGTTTCCTACAGACCCTCCAGAAGAGCAGTTTGTTGTCCTCAACGTAACAAGATATTACAACACTAAAGGGGACATCCTGGAGCAGAAAAATAACTCCTGCACATACTATGAATGTCACTACCCCTCATGCACAATGACTGAAAAAATGAGTTACATGAGTTCAGTATCTGTGGGCACTGCCAGGTCCCACAGTACTGTGGGCCGCAGCGCCAGCAGGAGGACTGGCCTGCCCACAAGAAACACTGCCAAGAGTGGAACATAATCTGGCTACAGCCTAAAAGATAATTAAAAAAAAAATCTTTCTAAAAATCCATCCAACTAAACGAGGGCTAAGGAAAATCTCCATCCTTTACCGAATGTGGGGGGAATTATAGTGACAAAGGATGAGGAAAAGTCTAAGGTACTCAGTGCCTCCTTTGCCTTCGTCTAATAGTAGATCAGTTGTTCTCCAGGTATGCAGCCTCCTGAGCTGGGAGACAGGGAGGGGGAGCAGAAGGAAGCCCCATAATCCAAGGGGAAATGGTCAGGGACCTGGTACACCACTTAGACATACACAAATCTATGGGGCTCGATGGGTTCCATCCAAGGGAACTGAGGGAGCTAGCAAAAGTGGTCACCAAGCAACTTTCCATCATTTACAGAAGTCCTGGATAACCAGGGAGGTTCCAGTTGATTGGAGGTGAGCAAGTATGACGCCCATCTACAGGAAGGACTGGAAGGAGGATATGGGGAACTATAGGCCTGTCAGCCTCGGTGCAGGGGAAGGTCTTGGAGCAGATCACCTTGAGTGCTGTTGTGTGGCATACAGAGGACAACCAGGGGACCAGGCCCAGTCAGCATGGGTTTAGAAAAGGCAGGTTCTGCTTGCCTGACAAAATCTCCTACCATGACCCACTTAGTGGACGAGGATAATGTCTACCCTGACTTTAGCAAAGCCTTTGATGCCATTTTCCACAGTATTCTCCTGGAGAAACTGGCTGCTCATGGTTTGGATGGGTGCACTATTTACTGTATAAAAAAAACTAGCTTGATGACTGAGCCCACAGAGTGGTGGCAAATGGAGTTACAACCAACTGGCAGCCGATCACTAGTGGTGTTCCCCAGGGCTCAGTGTTGGGGCCAGTCCTGTTCAGTATATTTACTGATGATCTGGAAGAGAGGATCAAGCGCACACTCAGTCAGTTTGCAGATGACACCAAGCTAGTTAGGAGTGTTGATCTGCTGGAGAGTAGGAAGGTTCTGCAGAGGATCAGTGGGCCAAGGCCAACCATGTGACCTTACTGCTCTCTACAGCTACCTGAAAGGAGGTTGTATTGAAGTGGCAGTTGGTCTCTAGTCGCAGAAACAAGCAATAGGCATCACCTTCCATCAGGGGAGGTTTAGGTCGGATATTAGGAAATTCTTTTCAGCTAAATGGCTGTCAAACATAGGATCAGGCTGCCCAGGAAAGTGGTGGAGTCACAAACCTGGAGGTATTTAAAGGATGTGCAGATGAGGTGGTTAGGGGGACAGTGTAATAACAGACTCGGCAGTGTTGTGTTAATGGTTGAACTTGATGATTTTAGAGGTCTTTTCCAACCTAAGTTGGAAAGGCAACAGAGATCAGAATCAGGCATATGATTATCCCCAAGAAGCAAATGTCATGCAACTATAGTTAACTTGCAGCATCATCTGAATCTAGTTTAATAACCAGAAAATAGGCTTTTGACAACAATAGTATTTCAAAATGACAGTATAATTAAATTTAAGTCAAAGCTATGCAATGATGGACTGCATGCTTATGTGTAACCAGCAAATTATATGCTTTTAAGCACATCAGAATTTTCAAAAGAATTAACCACTGCAGAAATTCAGTTGAGGAAACGGTGGCAGGAAAAAGACTCCCCCAGGTCATTTTTCAACCAGCTGATATGGTGTGATACATAGCGTTTGCCTCATACAGTGTTTCCAATTCTTACTTCCCTAAAATGCTATGCATTTTAATACCATTCAAGGACAAACCAACAGTCATGCTTCACTCACTTCTGAGAAGCAAGGGAGGGGACTGTGGGAATGGCACGAGTAATGAAAAAGGAAGTCAGTCTGTCATCCTATGTTATTAGTTGAGATTCAGCTAATGCTGGTCAGTCATTATCATCAGGTTTGCATGAGCAATACCAACAGATAATTAGTGTCCAGTCCACTGTGTTTCCTGGTGGAAAAAGAAAGGGGAGAAGTTGCAGAAAGGGTCTTGATTTCATAGAATGAAGAGAACTTTCACAAGACAGAGTAGATCTCACAACTTGTGTGATCTCCATTTTAAGACAAACTGACAGTTAACCAGTAAAAAACACGTGGTGATTTCAAGGTGGCACCTTTGGCAAGCACTTGTCTGCTGTGCTGTGTGTTCCTGTTTCCACCCCCATCCATGTTTGTTCATCGCCCACCAAGGAGTTCTCAGTGCTGATAGCTATTGCAAAAGTCTATAGTAGAGCCATCTATTAACTCCCATTTGGTGGGAAAGTGAGGAACATTCTCTTTCCTTTTTATTATTTTCTCAATTGGCAGAACATTTACTTTAATACATAAATTTCTAAGCTATCCTTTAATAAAAGAAAAGTCTGTGGTGGTAGAATATATTTCCTTGAAACTGAACAGAAAAAAACTTTAACAACTCAAGTTTAAATACACACTAAAGCTAATCGATTCATCCCGCACTCAAGTTTCCATTATACTTCTAAGAAAGCACAAAACAGGTCTGTAAAATATAATTAAGGAGAGACTGCTACATACAGCCTGTAAAGTCAAGACTATAGCTTTTATTTCATTTGTTTTGCAGGCTCATTAGAATTTTTTTCATTTAAATATCTTGAACTGTGTAGCCAAATTTATATATGAAAGAAACAACAAATTAAACTAAATTAGCCCTTATTTAAGCTGTTTTTGAAACCATCTAAAACTGATGTTCTTAGTTCCACAATTTCTAAATTAGATTTAAAAAAAATTATGTTACCAGTTCAGAAAGCAGACGAATTAATGCACATTTTTTAAAATGTTGTACTTCTGCAAACTTGTATACTGAAACTCAAGTGGCTGGGAAACCTAGGAAAGATTCAGAGCATGTGCCTCTGTGTCCTACTCTATCCCTGAAAAATAGAGACACAAGAAGAACAACGAACTGTATTCCCAACCTGGACAACCCGCGGGCAGATGTACTGACCGCAGGGCATCCCCGGCGGAGGCAAGGGCTTGCACTCACCAAGCACAACGTGAGCACCAGCATCCTGAGCCTGGGCACTGTGCCATTCAGATGCAGGTAGGTGCCAGGGTGAGAGAGCAGCACGCTGTCTATGAGACAGCCCTGGCACTGCTTCTTACAGAGCCTGCAGTGCTGCAGTCACTGACCGAGGGCTCACAGACAATCACTCTCTCATGTTGCTGTCTGTCCTGTTACTTGCTTTTCATAGGTGTCTCTTCTCAGGTTGCCACAAAAAAGCAGTAAGGGAACTGTCTCTGCATTAATATGAGTGCTAGGACTGGGTGTAAGTGCAGTATTTCTATGAAAGATATAACGCACAAAGAAAATTTTCATTGCCTCTTCATCATGCATACTTGGGCTCTAGGTATAGACTGAAACATCAGTGCGAATGATGTGCTGAGAATGAGAATTAGTGGACAACAACAGGAAGTCCTCCAACATTTGGAGTTTTCAAATTACAGTCAGAGGTGCATGTGCTGCCATTAATGCCAACAGATTTTCCAAGTCCTATGACAGTAATCAAAAAATAATCACAGAGCAGCTGATGTTCTTTCCTGCACGAGTTTCTGCCCTATTTAAGGATAAAAACGCTTCAGAGTGATTTATGGTTAAAATTAGAGGAACCAAAGAAAAAAATAATAACAAAATCAAAATATGCTTTCTAACCATACCGTTGAGAAGAGGCTGTCCTCCATGTACACTCCTTGACACCACTGCACTGTGAACATCTTCAGGAAACCCAGTCTTGCATGACATATCTTCTTCACAGGTTGCTTTTATCGGTGCCTGAAACATAAGACAAAATTTATGTAATACTTGCAACCCTCATTCACCAGAGAAACATTCGGGTTGGCATGTACTCCATTTTGCTGCTGTCTTGTACAAGCAGAATCTTTGTTTCTGAATGCCTGCAATTAGGACCGCGAGGGCAAAGGGTTAATCTTTCTGATAACTGGAATGGAAGGAACAAATCCCACTTGTCTGGTAAGATCTAAATAATACACAATCTTGATTCTTCTGACAACTGAGCATTTCCACTAAACCAGCCATCAAGACTGAAGGGGAATCATAAGGGGAACAAAAACATTCCTTCCTCTGGAAATAAATGTTGCACAAAACCCTTTGGCAACTTTTTCACAGACAGATAACTTGAGAGGAATGACTTCAACCACTGCTTTAAAATGCTTTATTTAGAGTATTTCTATGTGAGGTTGTACCAGAACAACTAAACCAAGATAAAATGTTACATTTGCACTACGTTAACATTTGTGTTAGCATTCAAAAAGATACCATATAAAGCCAAATGTTTCCAATGCAATCTCCTTCCATTTCAAAGGGACATTAAGTTAAAAGCAGAGCAGCTCATTATCAAATCTGCACAACAAGGGTAGAGCTGAGCCACTGAAACTGTTTTTTCTCTCACTTGTTAAGAAAGTTTACCTTCAAATCACAGTCTTAAAAGAGTTTCATAAATGTCTTTTTATTAAAAAATATAATACAGCATTTGGAAACTTGTTTTTTCTGTATCTTCCACATTCAGAAGATACTTCTGATAGCTAAGCTATTTTCCAGGACAGTTCTGTGGCAAAGGACTTTTCAGTGGGTTGTTTTTGTCTCCTTTCAGTGCTGCATAAGACAACAGCCCATCTTACATGTGAGTACCTAACGATACATGGCAAAATCCCTTTCACACTGCACAAGGCAGACAGACCAGCTCCCACGCCAGCCTGGGCTGAGATACGTACAAGAAATCGCGAGAGCCCTCGCACAATCTCAAACATGCCTACGTGCCAAATAAAGGCCTATCCACATGCATGCCCAGATGTAGTACATGGTCTTTGAAAGCACAAGCAACTGTGCCGCTATGTCATACTTAAATCTAATCAAGACTTAAATTAGATTTTCCTTTTTATTTTCTCAGATGGTCTTCCACCAAGCAGACCTGTTCAAGGCCATGTAAGCACATCTGCATACACTTGACAAAGAAAGCCCTATACGAAAAAGAAAAAAAAAAGGACAGAGAAAGAGGACAGGATGATGTTATTCA